GATGATACACAGAAATCTGTGCAACACTTCGTGATACATAAGGTGCCTAAAGTGGATTTGCACCACGACAAACACCATATGCAATTAAAAGTGCGCTGTGGCTATATATATGCCCGGCAGCCGGGCACGGTCTTCGATATCCTAAATACCCGGCAGTCAAGTCAATTGCCGTCGCCAGTAAAATTATTTTCCCAATACGAAAACAGACTCCTGAAAAAGTTGGAGACGACTTGCTAGCTAATATTGCATAGGTGCATAAAAGGCATTAATACATTGCTTTGGGTGTGTCTTAGAAAAATATTTCTAAAGGTGATTGAACCATGAAACTTTTATGTAGCGTAATTTTAACCTAGATTAACTTAACATAACCCTAGAACATAGAGTAAAGGATATACCTTTAATTATTTGAGTTGCAAAAACTTGACTCGGTCTGCAGATTCTGGGTAAAATATTGTCAGACCACACTATTCACACCATTGAAAATTCCCCTAGACAGTTCTTGTTAAATACAAGAAGCGATCTAAAATCACTACAAGCAAAATATTTTTTTGTTAATTTAAAAAATTTACAAATCACCTATAGTGATCATTCAGAACTAAATTCCAGTAAAAAATATCACGATAAATGTATGCAGATAACTATTCAAATTTTGGCTAATGCTTACAATAATATTACAAGAATGGCATAAGGGATCATAATGAAGGAAACCCATAGAAAAAACTTCCTGGAATAGGAATATGTTGCACTATCATCACTGCATACCGCATACCCTAGCTGTAATCAATTCATAATGTGGCGTACAAAAAAGGCTTTGGCCCCCTCAGTGGTTAGCACATTAAAACAGGGACTGTGCTGTTTGTAATTGTTTTTTGATGTAATCTTCTCTTGCTTGCAGTAGTATCATTGCTCCTGCTTGTGCTTTTTTAGTCAGTGGACCTTTGCCAATGCAATAAAAATTGCATGCTTCTCCATGAGTGCAACCAACTAGTTGAAAAACAAAAAAACACAGGCTCGTATAGATTCTGTTGCTTTACACTAATAACACTGTGTTAGAGAAGACTACATAATATAGTGGCATGAATGCTTACAGTAGTCTGTGGTCAAATCACAGTACATGTACTTGACCAACTGGTTCTCATAGTACGTGATGAACTGCTTCATCTCTGTCTCGAGGATGAGCATTTCCTCCTTGAGACGCATGAGCTTCTGATGCAATTCAGCCACTTTTCTCTTTTCTGCAGTTGTGTGGCCTGTGTTGAATTGAAAATGAAACACTTTTAATCTACATATGACAGATATCATGTTCAATTATTCATTCTCTGGTCAATGTTTAGATTTTGCCTCTTTCGGTAATATCTATAGATCTATATCTATACACTAAACAATATCTAAAAACAACTTACTCGTCGCAGTTCCTTCAACTAGCCATGGAAAGTTTCCTTCCAGGACCCGAGCAGTTGTTACAGCAATCTGAGGGGTGACGTCATGCAATTGCACAATGGCTGCAGCAACAGCCTTTGTGTCGCGTTCGTTTCTGCTGCGCAACACCGTGTTATGCTTTGCTCTTTCTTAAATTAAAACAAAATTATATGTATAAATAGCCTGATTTATATGAACTCCTGTCTGCAACTTACACAGATAAGGTCTATGTCTCCCTGGTTACTGTCGGAACATACCCTAGAAACTATTTGATATGGTTAGGGTTAGGGTTACTGGTTAGGGAGTAGGCGTAGGCAATTCCCTAGACTTGTTAGTGGAGTAGGCGAGGTAAAGTTCAGCATATTAGAAGTTACCAGGGTACGTTCCGGTATACTGGACCGTACCCAGGGTATGTTCCGGCAGTATCCAGGGAGACATAGACCCGACGAGCGTAACTTACTATAAAGATTAATGCATATTGGCATGGTGCTTGCGAACATATATTGATTCAGGTTGTTTACCAAGTATAAATTAATGTTTTACCATTTTGTCTCATGACATGCCTGCGCTGCTGGATCGTAAAAGACAGCGTCTCTAGCCGTGTCATTATAGCGCCTTGATCATTGTCAGCTTGACCGTCGTATCCTATACATAATATAAAACCCACTGTATATACGAATATTAGCGTTATTAGGGGAAGAAACTTTCTAACAAAATAACTATCATTACTGCATGATGATTGTAATTTTCGATCTTTGTGTCTGCAAGTGGGAATATAATAAAATACTAGCTGCAATAATGCTTTTCTATAGGACTAAGAATGAGAATTAACCAGATTTTTATGCAGTCAATTGCAAATTAGCCAAGTTACAAAATATTTTTAACATGACATGGTGGGTGAGGTGGCATAGGTTTCATGCTCTGTATATCAATAACACAGTACAACGACATGTAACATATTGCAGCAACAATTTTTGTATTATAATATCAAGAGCTAATAAATACCTATTTGCGCATTTTGCGGTGTTTATTAGCTCTTATATATATATATATATATATAACACTTGGTATCAGTGGTATTAAAGGCCATAACACTGATTTTAGCTGTGGTTACACTGGGATACACTGTGTTTTCACACAGTGTATTTGTGTTTTGCAGCCAAATCCTGTGATTCAACAACAACCAGAACATATTAAAATTGTGCAAAAACAAATGAATTCTAAAACCAAACCTGAGGCAAACTCGGTTATCTCTTTAACCCATTGTGGAAGAGTCGTCACGTCGATGCCAAGCTGCCTACAGTTACCAAGAATTTCTGGCTCTACTATCTCTATCTCATTCTTCATCTGTAATATCAATGAAATAACATATCATGTGGAATGAAGCCACATTCTTATGAAGTTTTCCACACATGATAACAGAAACCGGTCAAGTGGTAATCCAAGTGCGATTTTTTCCATACAATAACCTTAGCATGCTTTTTTGCCAGTGATTTTGCCATCATGTTGATTTTTTTCTGGTTCCAGAATTTAACCGAGAGAGTTATTTCCTCTTCTCTGGCTAGAAAAAAGTGTATCATATATAATAAAAATTAGTTTATACACGATTTGTTCTGATCATTTAAAATCAAACGGGTATTACAATATATCTATGCAGAAAAGTTAGCATAGAAAAATGATCTACACATCTTTAATTACATAAAATTAATTTATACACTGAATAACTAAAATGGTGGTGGTGGTGGTGGTCGCGGTGCTAGTGGTGCTGGAGGTGGTGGTGGTGGTGGTACATCTGGTGGTGGTGGTGGTGGTGCCGCATCTGCTGCTGGTGGTGCTGGTGGCGGTGCTAGTGGTGGTGGTGCTGGTGCTGCTGTTGCTGGAGCTGCTGGTGCTGGTGGTGGTGGTGCTGTTGCTGATGCTACTCTGAGGGCTGCCACCGAACAGATATGTTTACTTAACATGTAGATTAATGCTTATATTGTATTATGTAGTTTACAATAATCATTTCCCCCTATAAAATTCCAATTAAAATTATATATATTCTATACATTGAAGGTTGATCTACCAGGCATTATTATAGCAGGGATCACTCAGCTATAGCGTAATATCTTGCAGTGTACAAAAAAAATCCAACAACAGTGTATTCAATGATAATTGTGAGTGTTCATGAAATTAGTGAAATTTGCAGTGTAAAAATGTAGAACAAAATGTGCAGCCTTATTAACGATTGGTTGGTTTTTTATAGAGATTCAATTCAGCAATACTCTGCTAATCATTGACCAGTCCCAGACTAAACAGCGTTTTGGCCAGTGATCCGATCATATTACTATAATGCTTATTAATGAACGTAACATAAAACCATTTTCTCACCACAAGCTTTAAATCGTTGCATCATACTATCCTTCAAAGCAGGATAATCTTCTATGATGTTTGTTCCAGGCCCCGGAGTCCCTAAAACAGTGACATTGCTGCCACTGTGCAAAAGGACGGCGACATGCATGCCCCGTCCTTCCATCTGCACCAGCTGTTGGAAAATATAAAATTGACAATATCTCAATTACAATTTTGTTAACTTATCATAAACGCTTTAGTACACACTGAGTAGTGTTGCAAAGTATGCTGCTACAACTCATTCATCAAAGAACCAGTGGCCATTCAGATACAACATTAATCGCTTCAATCAAAAATATCAGGAGATCATAATAATTATTATTATCTCCTGAAAATATCAATGGAAAAGTTTAGACGTACTCTAGATTTATAAACGTTTTTAAGATAGGCTACATTCTATAAGACTGTGCGAAGTATAAAACATTTACAGTACAATGACAGGTAATATAGGCAACCATGATATGTGCTGTAGCCTGTAAGCGATATCGTTAAAATTTAACCCAGCATGAAATAATTCAGGCAAATGTTTAATACTATCTAAGAATACTACCAATGTTTTAAGTCTTCCAATTAAATATGCTGGGCTTTTTTTGGCCCCCTTCGCCTTCATACGTTCCCTGTCAAGTTCTTTTTGGGTAAAAGGCAACTTGCAGTTTTGGCAAGTTTTGCACCGGATCGATTGGACCCGCTTGCAAGATTGGCACACCTTCATTGCCTTGCCTTGTAAGCTCTAAAACAGAAAATTACATTCATGTTACAATATCAATGATATTGATAACTCTGATTTTTATACATGCATGGAGTAGGGGATGCTTAAATTATAGGTTATTATAATATTAGTCAGGTCCCTTAGTGCAAAATATGGGCCGGATCATTACAGAGCTGAAAAAAGCATCAAACTTTGCACAGTTGTAGCTTATGGCAGTACTATACATATTAGAGGGGTGCCCAATGCAAATATTCCTCAGAAGGGAATTACAGATTATTTAATGTTCGAAAAACTAGACTCCAAACTCCCCTACCGGAGTGGTAGGGGGTTCGGAGTCAGGTGGTTCGAACATGTAATCATCTGTAATTCATTTCCGCGCGCATATATTTGCCAATATCTTGACTAAGACGTGTGACTATAGGTAGCTAAATTTCAAATAATTGCAACTCAATTCCTTCGCGAGATGTGAGAGTTAATACACTTGCCTGCCGTCTATATATAGCCGTATTGTCTATATATATGTATGTAGATTTCTAGAAATGTAACTTGCTCGTGAGATATGAGAGTTAATACATAGCGTAATCGCGTATAATTATATCAGGAGTCTATCAATAGTATCGATACTATAATATTGATAGACTCCTGATTATATTATGTGTAAATGCGCGCGGGGGGGGGGATTACCAGCTGTTCACAATGCGCCAGTATAGGCGGGCGCGGTTTGAACATTAAATCATCGATAATTCACTTCTAAGGAATATCTACATTGCGCACCACCTCTAATATTTATTTATAACCTACTGCCACAAGCTACAATTGTGCAAAGTTTGATGCTTTTGTCAGCTCTGTCACGATCATGATGCAAAGGGACCCGACTATAAATAGTATAATACCTAGGTTATTGTGAGTAGTAATCCTAGAGCTCATAGTCTAGATGTCCCCCAGGGTACTGCCGGAACGTACCCTGCATGGTCACTATTTTCAGTATTTGATATGGTTAGAGTTAGAACTTAGGGTTAGGGTTAGAGTTATGCCGGTTAGGGTTACGGTTACTGGAGTAGGCGTACGTAGGCGACTCCCTACACAGGCACTTGGAACGTCTCAATAAAAAAAATTAATGGTAAATAAACACGAAATGTACCAGAGTCTTAATGTTTCTCTACTCTATTTTACCTATAATTACCTGTAAATACTGGTCAAATGCTCTTATTCATGTTGTTTGTGCACGCAGCACAGGGCGCCGCGGGCGGGCGTGCGGTGTACTTGTGTGTTGCAGATGAGCATTTGACCGGCATTTACAGGTGATTATAGGCGAAATAGAGTAGAGAAACATTAAGACTTTGGTACATTTCGTGTTTATTTACCATTAATTTTTTTTATTAAGACGTTCCAAGTGCCTGTGACTCCCTAGACTCGTTAGTGGAGTAGGCGAGGTACGGTCCGGCATATTAGATAGTACTATAGGGTACGTACGGTTCCGGTATACCGGACCGTACCCAGGGTACGTTCCGGCAGTACCCCGGGGGACATAGATTAGACCCTCTCAGCAATACTACTACTACTATAGTCCTACTGCTGAGAGGGTCTATGTCCCGCGGGGTACTGCCAGAACGTACCCTGGTACTATCTAATATGCCGGACCGTACTTCGCCTACTCCACTAACTTGTCTAGGGAGTCACCTACTCCCTAACCCTAACCCTAATCTTAACCCTAATCCTAACCATATCAAATAGTGACCAGGGTACGTTCCGGTATACCGGACCGTACCCAGCTAGGTTACGTTCCGGCAGTACCCTGGGGGACATAGACCCTATGAGCAGTACTATACTAGACTAGTCACTACATAGCATTGCTCATAGGGTCTATGTCCCACAGGGTACTGCCGGAACGTACCCTGGTTACTATTTGATATGGTTAGGGTTAGGATTACTCGACGGATTAGGATTAGGGTTAGGGTTAGGGTTAGGGCTAGGGAGTAGGCGTATAGGCGACTCCCTAGACTCGTTAGTGGAGTAGGCGAGGTACGGTCCGGCATCTTAGATATTGGGTACCGGTACGTTCCGGCAGTACCCCGGGGTGCATAGACCCTCTCACTCTCAGCCATTACTAGTCTAAAGTAATGCCTAATGGCTAATGCCAGTAAGTAATGGCATTAGTAATAGTATTAGAACAGTCACTAAATAGTATTGATAAGTTTTTATATTTATAAGTTTAAATCAAATAACAATTGTCAATTCATTTCACGTCACTTACTGATTCTGGAGGTGGCATGCTGGCAGTCAAATTCAATAGCAACAAAATTCAATTTCTGTGTGGTGCAATTTTATTTTCCCGCGGTGATGACTCGGTGCTTGTGTACATTAGTAACCTATGATACTGCCATCTGTTGCTGTAAAAGGTAACAAAACTATACAAATTTCTAACGAATGTCAAGAATATTTCATTATTATAGTAGTTGTATTCTATTATTGTATAATTTATTATTATTATTTATTATATATTATGTATTGTTATTAAACACTATGAAGTGTTATTTTTATTATTATTGGTGCTTGCTCTGGTTTAACCTCCGTACGTGTAATACCGTGTTAACCATACTATACCCGTGTAATATTTCTCTCTGGGGTTTATGTTATAAAACTTTATGAACTGAAACAAATGCATTACCCTTAGTAATTTTGTACGTGTTCTACATTAATACTACCAAGAGCGTATAAAGAAGGTTTATCCTATTTTATTTGCTCTTGATACTACTATTTGTTTTATTACATCAATGAGTTGTATATACTACAGTGATCTTCTTCTTCTGTCGTGTGTACCGAGCGAGGAGGGGCATAGCCGCTGAGGCATCTAGCCTACCGTCACATAGCCATTCCCGCGTTGGGACGTCAATCTCCACCACCCCTGCACTCCTTTCGGAGGCCGATGGAGAGGGCAATCCTTGATTAATGTTCCGCCGTCTGCTGTGCCACTCCGCAGTCGCAGGCAGGATCTGCTGTATACCTCATCTGTGCATATTGGCACTGAAGTGTGCCACTCTAGTTCACAGACGATTTAGCATGACCCAAGCATGGCAAGGATGGTCTGAGCCAGGAGGGTTCCATGATATGTAGTTTTTCAGGCACAATGGTGACTGGCACCACTGCTGCGACCAATTAATTGCAGTCCAATGGGTTGTTATATTGGACTGTATGACTGCAAGCAGTGACTCTGCCTCTGAAGTGAAAGGGTGGCGCGTCTTAATGCCCCGGTCACACATACACGACGCACGACCCGCGCACTGAAAAATTAGCAATTTTGGCCAGTGCGTTGTCTTTCGCTGGGTGTGCGTCAGCATTTGTTACTCATTCGTCGAGCACGCTGGACCAACGCTATGCATTCGTTGTCATTCGCTGTGTGCGTCGGAATTTTTGTGCATGCACAAAAATGTGCATGACCTGGGCAACCTCAGTGTTACATC